ACATCATGCTCCCTGCTCAGCAGGGAGCCTGCTTCTCCCTCTCCCAACTCCCCCCCATTTGCTCGTACTCTCTCTCGCTATCTCTCTCTCTCAAATAAATAAAATCTTAAAAAAACACAAACACACACAGAAAAAACAATAACCTCTTTCTGTTACTTCTTCATCTGCCTGCCTTCTCCCTCAATCCTAGAGGCCATCTAAAAGACCTATTGATCCTCTGTGGCTAAGGAAGAATTTGATTCCCTTGGAATTATATCAGCTATGTGGAATGCTAGAAGGGCACCATTTGTCCAGGGAAAAAAGTGAAGAGTAGAGTCAGGTTTTAGTTGGGGTCATGGAGATGATTAGTAAAACAGCATGGAAATGGCCTTGACAACTGGATATTTTACTGGGGCTTCATGTTCATAATTTCCATTCTTAATTTATGTATCCATTTATTATTTCTTTCTTTCAGATACTTGATTGAGCACTCACTAAGTACTCCAGCTATTTTGTTCACTGCTATAGTAAAGTAAAAGCAAACAAAAAAGATGTCTTTTCCAGTATTTGTGAAAATTTGCAAATAGGAAAAAAGTTAAAAGAATTTTCAGTGAGCATCAATATATTCACTATAATTTCTATATTTAAACATTTTACTATGCTTACTTTATAACATACTGATCCATTCCTCTATTCATCCATCCATCAATCTTATTTTTTGAAACGTTCAAAGTAAATTTCAGGCAATAGTAGACTTTCCCTAAGTACTTCATCTTACATATCATTTAAGAGAATTTAGCATCTGTTTGCAAGTTTATTTTCTTTGAAGTTTAAACTTATATATAATGAAATGCAGAAACTTTGGGTAAATATTCACTAAATTTCGACAAGTGCACAGATATGTAACCCTCCAAAACTCTCAAGATATAAGGCCCAAGGCCCTGGACCCCAAACTTACTTCATTTTTCCATCCATCCTGTATCCAGAGACCCCACAAACAAGCAGTTTTTTTCTCACTTTAGAGAAATTTTGCCAATTCTACAACTTCATATAAACAGAATCATACATAATGTATGTTTGTATAAGATGTTTTCACTCCTTAATCTATAATTTGTTCTTTTTCATTGCTGAGTAGAATTCCATTATATACACTTATCCCAATTTGTTTATTTATTCTCCTATTAAGGGACACCTGGACTGTTTCCAGTTTGAAGCTAATATAAATAAAGCTGCTATACATATTTCGTAAAAATCTTTGGGGTATGCAGGTGTGTGTGTGCACATGCATGCACATGCACTAACCGGACTGACATGACATTTGATCTTATTTTTATGTGTGCATTTTCATTTTTCTTTTTTTGCATTTTTATTTTTCAAAAATAAAAGAGAATTAAAAGAGAGATAGCTAAGGCATGATGATGGTTGTTGGTGTCACAGATATAAGGATGTGCTCACTCCAAAAAAAAAGAAGGGGGGGGCTTTCAGCTTTGTGGGCTTACTGGAATTCCTTTGGAAACTTTCTGTGTAGTCATAATTAATAATCTAAGAATATTCAGTTACCTACAGGTGAATGTACTTAAAAGAATTTTTTTTAAGATTTTATTTATTTATTTGACAGTGAGAGAGAGAGAGAGAGAAAGCACAAGCAGGGGAGAGGAGCAGAGGGAGAAGCAGGTTCCCCACTGAGCAGAGAACCCAATGAGAGCCTTGATCCTAGGACCGTGGGATCATGACCTGAGCCAAAGGCAGATGCTTAACCAACTGAGCCACCCAGGCACCCCTGGTGGGTACTTTAAAAGACTCTGATAAGCCTATGTTTTTAAGATAGATAAAAATGAATACCCCAACATTTATCATCAGAAGCAGTCATGTCCAACAAAACTAAATATCAAATATTATGTATAAGCCATGTTATCATATCACAGAAGCACTGAATGATCCGAGAAAGTAAATGGTATAACATCCTACCTAGTTTGGAGGTTAGGAAACCATTCTGCCACTCCTAGTACAAAGTAATATCCAGTTATTTTTAAAGTATTTTGCACAGTACGTCTGAATAACATTTGCTTTTACTTTGAGATCCTGTGATCCTCCAGTGGCTTCCCTTTCTAAAGACCAATATGTTAAATATAAATTATAAAACTTGGAACATATGAACTTATACCACATGGACAATTTATTTTCCAGCTTTATTGCCTTCTTCATACCTTACATGAATGTTTTATTCTAGAAAACATTTTACTGCTTGTACTTCTGGAATTTAATTCAGGGAGATTTAACACCTACTGACACTCACTCTTACATAAATAGCCATTAAGGACCTGAGTACATGAATCTATCAAACCAAAACTAAACACACACACACACAGAGCAGACACTGATTATTGAGGCTGACATCAAATAGACAATAGGAAAGGGAAAACATATTAGTTACATACATGGAAAAAAATTTAATTTTTATTTATTTCCAAACAATTATCCTCAGATGTGTTCATTGTAGCAAGAGTCGATATAACAATTACGAATTAGTATAACAGGGGTGCCTGAGTGGCTCAGATGATTAAGCGTCTGCCTTCCGCTCAGGTCATGATCCCAAGGTCCTGGGATCGAGCCCCACATCGGGCTCCTGGCTCATCAGGGAGCCTGCTTCTCCCTCTCCCTCTGCCTCTCCCCCTGCTCATGTTCTCTTTTTCTCTCTGTTATCTATGTGCCTCAAATGAATAAATACACTCTTTAAAAAAAAGAATTAGTATAACAAGACGCTGATATTTTAGAAGCTTTCCCAAAGACAATGTGTCTTATGTTTTTCCATCAAAGTAAACACTGCCTTGGTATTCTTGGCATTAATTTCTGATTAAATACCATGTTAGCCTGGTGATGGGTATTAAAGAGGGCACTATTGAATGGAGCACTGGGTGTTGTACACAAACAATGAATCATGGAACACTACATCAAAAACTAATGATGTAATGTATGGTGATTAACATAACATAATAAAAAATAAATAAATAAATAAATACCGTAAGTTGTAGAGCTACCACATTCTCCTTTCTAATTTTTAGCTTCTATTATGTTTCCAGCTCCACAGAGACCCTGCACTAACCCTTCAGAGACCTGTCAGAGAGGTCTCTGAATTTTCTTTTCCACCAGCACTCTGTAGTAAGGCTATTTTAGGATAGCCTTTTGCAAATACAAGAATTTTTTATACCTTTAAAGACAATCACTGGCCAGTGAATGAAATATGTGTGTACTACTTATACAACTCTGTCCTGACAGAGGTTAATGTTACTAAATACAGTGGTTTCATGAGAAGGAAAGTGATGTATGTATGTATATATCATCGATAAAACATGATGCAAGGCTAGCTATATTAAAATTTGACTTTTGTTTTCCCAAGATGACTTAAGACTGTGTATTTTATCATCTTTCCAGTTTTGTACCACTTTCAGGTGGCTAATATAGACTACTAGTTGCTGAGTTTCACATTCTCAATATAAGATATTGTAATGCAAAAACAAAACATAAAAATAATAAAAATAATCACTTTAAAAACCACCTTACTCTTACCAGTTTTGATCACATTTTATAATATTTCATTCTCTTGGCCCCAAAAGCTATTGAAGAAGCTTAATGTGTTTCAGAAGGAAATTTTTTTTCCATATAAAAAAAGTCTTTTTCATGAGAAGATCAGAAGGTGTATCGCAAACCCAGAAAAAAGAAAATTATTTTTTCATCTAAAGGGCAATGTCAATCTGAAAATTTTGCCCAGGTTCCACAGCCTTAACGAAATAGCCTACTAGGAACTCTGTTCGTACACACCTGTCCAGACTAATTCCAAGGAACAAGATATTTGGCACATACGCTAATTCCCTAAAAAGACACTGTAATACAGATGGCTTTGGGGATTTGCCAAGGATCTCTACCTTTCTCTCCCTCATTCTATCCAAAATTCTATATCATTATACCATATCTGCATCAAAAAACAAAAGATGTAAACTGTGTTAGGTAATGATTAAGAAAAGTATGAAGGAAGAAAGGAAGAGAGAGAGAGGAAGAAAGAAAGAAAACTATTAACTAAAATACTATGTTGGATTTAGAGCTAAGACAATAGCCAGGGAATACTTCATCTGTCTAAGCAGAGGCCCAGAAAACATAAAAGATAATAGAGAATAAGCCAAAAATTACTGATGAGAGTGAACTGCTACTAAGGGGAGGACTCCACAGCTGGAATTAATAAACAAGGTTTATATCTTCTAGATCATAACATAAGGTCTATTCCAATTTGAGAAAAATACCTTGAGCAAACCAAAACAAAAGAGAATAAATTCACAACCAACTTCTACCTACAATCCGACAAGGGGAACCTCCCTCTGACTAACTGCTCAGGAGAGGTTTACACTCAGATTTCCCTTATCAAGAGCAAAGGACCAAAAATCTAAATAAAGATACTATTCCCCTCTTTTCGCCCCTTATCCATTTTACTTTACAACTGTAACAAACAGAGCTAGGTATGGTTGGGAGGAAAGGCAGTTTAAACATTCCTTCAAGAACACTGCCTCTTTCTTTTCTCTTATTTTCTATGTAATCTTTGGGATAAAACCACTTAGCACACAGTGAAGTACTAAGTACATTAAATGGGGTAGTTGAAATCGAAGCCAAGCCCAGAAATAACAAATAAAATGGAAACTACGCTGTTTTCACACTCAGGCTCTCAGAGAACATATACTACTTCACAGAGCATACTTACTCAGTAATTTCCTTAAAGAGCACTAGCATGCTTTGCATTTTTAAAGCCCCACTTCCTGGGCTATTTCCTTCTACAGCACACTAGGTGTTGAATTAATCACCACAGACTTTTTTAAAGAAACATCAACGAGGCCAACAGCCAGCTTTTTCAAAAGCCATATCCTCCACTCCAAGTAAACAGGAAAGTCCTACGTGTTCGTGACGAAAATTTACGCCGGCCTACGTCAAAGGACAAACAGAAGAGAAAAAAAAAGAAAAGAAAACGTTCCACTCACTTTGGTCAGGAGATCTCGGTGAAGGTACTCCAAACAGCTGGGAATGATGGTAGAGACCAACTGAGAAGACCCATCAATTCTAAATTTCCTGGGAGTAGGAACTAATACCACAGTTCCGTAACTGGACTGAGGCCGTAGAGCGTGAAGTCGGCTTCTAGCCGCTCTCCTTCCCCTGCTGTAATCCTTCGAGCTGGGATTTACGCAAGCAAACCAAAACGCCTCGGGGTTAGGGAACTGACTCCTAAGAACAACCAATCACAGCCCACTAGGCTTTAAGTTGTAGCCAATCAGTAATTTCCATCCTTGGCTTCCACCTTTTCTGTATAAAAGCCTCTAGAAATCACCTGTGCGTGGATAGCCTCAAACCATTTACTATGTGGCGCTGTTTGATCGGAACCCGTTTTTGTGTAAATAAGCCATTAAAATATTTAATATGCCTCAGTTTATCTTTTAACAGATGTAAACAGACTTTTAAAGAAAAAAGTATGTTTTTAGTAAACGAAACTGACTTTTACAGTTGCTTTTGTGTTAAGGATTCTGTTGTATCAGTTAGTTTACTGTATTTGAAATGTGTCAATGCTTACATGCCAAGCTTGCTTGTGCTGGCACTCTCGTAATTCATGTAGCTTAACCTAATGGTCTGGTGGGACTTCTGCTGTCTCCAAATGCAATGGTCTGTCCAGTGTGCGTCGCGTTAATACTTCTGCTTTCTCTTTTTGTAGGTGGATATTTGGTTGACCAAACATCTTGGCTCAGATAGGTTAGTTTCTATTGCTTCCCAAACTACCATTCTGCTTTGCCTGTTAAGTTTGTAAAATCACTGCCCGAATTTCTGGTTGTAACCTAAGGAAGCATGTAAAACCAATGAAAACAAAGTGTTGTGAAATGGTTATTATGGAAGAATAAATCCATCTGCCTTCTATGATATATTCAATAATAGAGAATTTCTGCCTCTCCTAAATTCCTGTTTGCAACTTTCTGAGTACTTTTCACATTTCTACTTTGTATTATGTATATTTGCATACTAAATTTTAGTCTTTTTAAGGTCAGAAACAAATACTTAATGATTTTTACCTTCCCTTATTAGTTCTAATATAATACTTCAAATGAATGTCTGACAAATATAAAATGCATGTGCTTTGAGACAAGATTCTGTGAATGAATTTTAGCAAAGTAATACCTGAGCATGATTTAAAAATAAAACCAAAATACCAGCAAACAAAAACAGTACACTATAAAACACTAAACCTAGTACCTATAAAATAGGGTTTATAAAGAAAACCAATAGCCCCCTGGCCTATGTTTCCCCAAAGCTAGGCTTCCTGCCCAGAGTCAGTTATATTTCCTTCATTTAACTGTATATGCTTTTAATTCTTCTGGTTTATTTCATATCAAGAAATAATTTGCTTATCTTATGTCTTGACATTTCAGTTTTATGCATTTTAAAATTGATTTACTGTCAATGATCAAAACTGACTTCTCAATAGTTGCTTATTGACTTGCCACAATAACATATGTTGATTTATATTATAACCATTCTCTCATTCCTTTATATCTCAATATAGTTAAATAAGTATTTTAATTATCTGCCACCTCTTAATTTAAATAATATACTTTATTTATTTTATTTTAGAGAGAGCATGAGTGAGAGGAAGAGCAGAAGGGGAGAGAGAGAGGGAGGGGAAAGAATCTCAAGCAGATCCATGCTGAGCACAGAGCCCCAGGCAGGGCTTGATCTCATGACCCTGATACCACGATCTGAGCTGAAACCAAGAGTCAGATGCCTAACTGACTGAGCCACCTAGGTGCCCCTAAATAATATACTTTAAATCAAAGTATATCACTATCTTAAAAGTGAAGCACTATAGCAAGCCTTTGTTGATCGTGCCTAGTTGCATAAAAATCATCCCTTCTGCCTTTAACACAACTCCTCTATTAGGGTCATTATGATCCCAGAAAAAAACGTTTCCCAGAATGCCTTGCAAGAGGGGTGGCTGAGACAGTATGAATAGAAATAGTTTAGTGAGGTTTCCAGAAAACCTCTTTAAGGGAACTAACTCAGTGATAGGTATACCCTTTTGCCCTCCCTTTCCTCCTTCTGAACTTGGACATGATGGTGACAGTTTGTGTGATGGATGGCCTGCACTAATGAGTCCATGCAGGGGATGGAGAAAACATGCTAAGCAGGGATGGTACAACCAAAAGAGAAAGAGCTTGGGATCTTGGTGGCCTGTGGAAGTGCCATATTATTCCTTGGCTACCTATTTCTGGACATCTCTTTAAAAAGAGAAAAATAAGTCATTATGTTATTTAAAACGGTGTTATTCAAGTTTTCAGTCATACCACCCATCCTATATTATTCGACTTATACGTTGTTATATAGTATATATTAAATAGAAATAGGGATGGGAATGGATGGAATACTGGGCACAGAAATTTTGAGAGTGAACCTACCAAAGGAACTAAACTCTTCCCTGTGAATTGATTATGCTTTTTTGTAGCAACATATTCTAATTTTTTATAAAAATTCCTATAACAATAGTATTGAGAAAACCTTAGAAACAGAAGCAATAGGATAAACAGAGCATCCTTCTATTGCAGTGCACAGAGATATGACAAGCAGGGCTGGATATCAGACTCTGGGCATGAAACCTCCTACCCCTGGCTATTGGGTTTTCAAAGTGCACACCTAAGAAAACACTGTCTCTTTCCCTGGTGAAATTGAGTACAGGGCACAAAACAATATGAGATGAGGGAAAGGTCTGATTTAGCCCTGTTGTACCATCTCAGGTTTCACATTTGGTGTGAAGAACAGCCTCACTGTCGAGCCTATCAGAAGTCATTGTCTGAGGTTTATAGTTGCCGTTCAGTGGCATGGTAAAGCAGTGAGAACATTTTCTAATTTGTGCTTGTGTTTGGGGAAGCACCAGACCCCATCCCGGTAGCATAGATGTTGGGTCCAAACATTACTGTTGACCAGGACTGATTTTCTAAAACACTGTTTCTATGGAGGTTTTCAGAGAGTCTTTCAAGGGAGGCCAGCCAAAGGGAATCCATCTTAAATCAGTTAACCTTTCTGTGTCACTACTCAGTCTTAGAGGAAACTCCTGCTCTCATCCCACCCTCCATTCACACCTTTCTTTCAAAGGAACAGTAAGTCACCTCCAGACTGGCAAACACATGGTCATCTTTAATCTCTGTGCCTTTTAAAAATCAGTATAAACTTTTTAAAAATAATTATGAGTAAGAATACATGCCTCTGGTATTTTATTTCCCCCCTCAGATAGAGATACTGAGGTTTATATTACCATATTCTTCAAAAAATCAGATTCTAAATTTAAAAAATCAAGTTCTCTGCTGTTTTTAAAATAATCTTATATTTATTTTCCTGTTTTACTTAATTGTATAATTTTGTTCCCAAGTTTTTAATTTATGCATTGATTTTTCATTCTGACAAATTTTAAATGAAAAAAGCATTATTTTTATAGTTAATAGTTAAAGGTCAATATATTTTATAACTTATCTGACCCTGTTTATAGCTCTATATCATACTTCTTTTAGGCTACAGTTTGTCTTTCAAGCATTTACTATGAATGGCCTACTCTCTTAGTTCTTAATGTCCGAAATTACTTAATTTCATCGTCAGTCTTGATAACTTTTGTTTTATTCTAGGAATAGAATATTAGGTTGACAGTAATGGAGTCTTAGAAGGTTGAAAATATTACTCCATGGTCTTCTGGCATTTATTGCTACTGATGAAAATTTTGCTGTCAGTCTTACTGCTTTTCCTCTGTAGAAAATCTTCTCTCTCTGGAAGTTTTTAATTTTTCACTTTCTCATTGATGCTACAAGTTTACCGTAATCTGTTTAGGTGTGTATTTATTTTACTTATCCTGCTCTACATATAATCTAACAATTTTATTCAATTCTAAAACAAATCCAGTCATTTGTTTTTTAAATATTTTAATGCCAATCCTTCTGAATTTTAGATACATAGATCAATAAACAGATATATACATATATAAAATATGCATATGCATTATATGCATATTTATGCCTAATAGAGATAAATCAGTCTTTATCATTTATCTATCATCTATTTTATTTTTTTAAAGATTTATTCATTTATTTGAGAGAGAGAGAGAGAGAGCAGGGGAGGGGCAGGGGGAGAGGGAGAGAATCCTCAAGCAGACTCCCTACCGAGCATGGAGCCCAACACAGGGCTTGATCCCAGGACCCCGAAATCATGACCTGGGCCAAAATCAAGAGTCAGACACTTAACCAGCTGAGCCACCCAGGTGCCCCTCTTTCATCTATTTATATCTATAACAAGCAGAACTCTCCATTCAATTCATTTAGCTTTCTTCTGCCAGGAAATCTATTCACTAGATCTGTCATCTGTCCTCCATAGCTATAGTGTCTCCCCAAGTTTTTCTTTCTCTTTTTCTTCTTCTCTGAAATTAGATTTTATTTTTGAACTTTGACTATATGGCCCTGATTTTGTCTTCCATAGAGGTGGTATTACTCTTACTGTAAATTCTACATTTGGATGTTCTGGTTTATTCTTAGTTCTTTCTGTGAGCTCCTCTCCTCAGCTGACTTATATTTTTGTTATTGCTGCTATTATGTGTGTGTGTGTGTACGTGTGTGTGTGGTGTGTGTGTATCTTGTTTTGGAAGTATTTTCTTAAGAATGCAAAGTAACTGTTTACCATTTTTGTTCATTACTTTGTGAAATCACTTCTTAAAATATGCTCATTTTTAATTATTTTTACATGCTATATTTACATGCTTCTGTTATTGCAAAATGTTTCAGAAGTAATTTTTTGTCCTGTTAGGTAACTATGAATCAAGATAACTCTAACCTGGTCTTCCATTTTGGCCCAAATAATGTGAGGGAATTTTAGATGGGTCTTCTCCATGTTTATCTGGATAACATTTTGCTTAAGCCCCTATAATATAATTATGATGGCCAGAAAATATAATTTTTAAGGCAGGGGAGGGGAAGAGGAGAGGGAGAGAGAGAATCCTAAGCAGGCTCCACACCCAGGGCAGAGCCCAATGAGGGGCTCAATCTCACAACCCTGAGACCATGACCTGAGCCAAAATTAAGAATCAGACGCTTAACCAACTGAGTCACCCAGGCCTCACCAGAAAATATAATC